AACCAAAATATTATATTTGCATTAAAACACTAAGGTCAATTCATTCACTCAACAAATGCTGACTAAACACCTAGGATGTGCCTGGCACAACCAGTGCCAGGACACTGAGTATCCAGTTGCCTGTGGTAGAAACCAGGCTGATAGAGAGTGTGCTTTGAAACCATCTTCCCTTCCCTCTTTGGAAACCAAATGGGCAAGTAGATAGCATCATGAAAATGACTTTAATGTAAACAAGACTTCTTCCCATCCTACTCCAAAATTCACTAAGAATTCCTGCAAGAGAAAAGTTTCCTTCGAGAGTAGAGGAAGGATTTATCAAACTCAGCTTTAAGGGCACAAGCTGTATTTGTCTTCATTTGGTTGCTACACTGAAATGCCTAAAGTGTTTACATTTACAAAGAGAAGGCTGCTTTTTGGCTTATGGTCCTGGGAACTCTATTCCAGGCACGGACAGCGCCTAACATTGGGCATCTTTGGAAGCACAGATTGCAGTGTCTGGAGTGTGTAGTGGAGCAAATTAGCATCGAGCCAAGAAATAGAGACTAGGAGATGGAAATACCACAGTTCCCTTCCAAGGCATATCCTCAGTGACCTCAGGACCTTCAGGTTGACTCATTCTCTCAAAAATTTCACTGCCTACCAGTATTATCATGCCCTCTTGGGACCGAGCCTAGTCCCACTGAATATTATACATAAACATTCAGGTATACTCATTTAAAACATAGGATGTACTGAGTCCCAAAAGAAAGAAAGAAGGATATACATGGACATGCTGATCCATTTGATTCATCATTCCACTTTATATGCATATATCAAACATCACACTGCAACCCGTACATATTGTATTGGTCAGTTTTTCTAGTTTCTAGGGGAAAATACTTATATCCCCCTTGTAGGGGAGAAGTTTATTTGGGCTCACAATTTCAGAGGGGTCAGTCCATGGACAACTGAGTGCAAGCCAGGAACAACATGGCAGAAGGGCATGATGCAGCAAGCCACTCATGTCATGGTGACAAGAAAGCAGAGCAGAGAGAAGAGCTCCAGAGAGCAAAGGACTAGTGACCAGACAGAGTCCTTAAAGTCACTCCCTATGACCTATCCGTACATACCTGAAAGTATGCTTTGCTGATCTGTGCATTACTCAAGCCAAGCAAATTGACAATTAAGCTTAACACATTTGAGTTTATACATGTATGTATAATTATTATCTATTCATTATGAAATCAATTATAACATAATAGTGAGCTACAGCAAATTATAATTGCCAAACTGAACTCTTTATAAAGGTGAGTAGCTGGCTAAGTAGAAAAATTACATGCCTGATTTTCTGTTTGAAACGTACCAAGAACAGTAAGTGTGATGAAAAATGATTTCAGAACCTACCGAAAACTGAAAGCTAGCAACACCAGAAGTTTTATACAGAAAAGAAATAAGTACCTGATTTGCCTTTTGGTAAAAATATGTACTAAAAAAAGTGGCATTTGTACAGGTATCACAGACCACATAGCAAATTATCAATAGCATCTGCCACAGGACGCAGGAAATAAGGAGAGATGAGGCTGGAGCAGGACTTCTGTGAATCTGCCTGTTCTTGACTAGGCCCACAGCACACTGCTCAGTGAAAACTCAGCCCCGATGAGGTCTTGCTACCAACCACACAAGTCAAGGTGAGGGCTGCAGCATTTCTGCCAAGCTACTTCCTTGGCTCACAGTTGGTAGAAAATAAACTAGAATTCAATGTATGTCTGCTTCATGGTTGTCTTTTTAAATATAGATCATGTTTACTTCCTGAGGATTTCTTAAGATGAGAAAACACAGCCTCTTTTTTCATAAAAAAGAGGTTTTATTAGAACAACACAAAACATGCCACATGAAATTAAAATGATATTCTATACATGCCAAATATTCACATATGCTCATAGTGAAGACTTATCTGACATCAGAATTCTATTTCAAAACCTGGCTGCCCACTTATTTATAGAATGTGGTCTCACCAAAGGGTGTAATCTGTCTCTCTTTTAACTACACCGCACCAACCATTTGGTCTGGCAGCTCTGATGGGAGATGCTGACACATTTGGTTTGTAGAAGTTCCAAGCCACAATTGCAAAGGCACGCTTTGGCTCCCTTTGCTTGTATTAAACAGTGGTTCATATGCAGCACTGCACCTAGTGGGTTTGGCCTGCATTAGAATAGAGTGAGGAGCATGAGAAAAAGGAGGATGAGATAAATGCAGCAAAGTTCACATATACAGTTGGTTTATCACCAGGGAAAGTAGACACCAAGATTCAGAAAAATGGTCAGTTGATCTGATGGGAAATGCTACAGCACTCGGCATGTCTCCTTTTGTGCAAGACACTCATGTCTTCCATGCTCAGTTTTAGGGCAGGGTGATCTGATCAATTATCTGATCACAGGTTAAGTGAAATACAAATGATTCTTTATCTGTATGGATGATCACAGAATAAGTAAACTCTGATTTTGTCCAGTTCTGGAAGCGAGGAGAATAAAAGTTTCAGAATAAAAGGGCGCTGAGGGTGGAGTTCAGTGGTAGAGCAGCTGCTTAGCACACTTGAGTCTTAGGCTCAATCTCTAGTACAACCCAAATAGATTGGAAAGTTAAGACTATTAGCCTTTAGAAAACTGTTCAAAATCACATCGGATCCTGTTTAATACACCAGAAACTACTTCACGCATGCTTATTTTGTTATGAGTGTTTCTGATCATACAAAAAATGGAAGAATGTTGGTCATACATAGGGACCAAAGTCAGGGGTCTGAAAAACTCTAAAATCAAACCATGAAGTCAGTCTATAATTATAAATAAAATGTATGAGAAAGGCAATTTAGAAGAACACTGATCAAAAGAAGGGAACAGTGTCAACTCATCAATTTATAAATAGAATATTTATTAGAAGGGAGGAAGGTCAATTTGGAAGACACTGAAAGGAAAACTTGGAGTGGAAAATTAATAGTGCTGGAGCCCAGAGATTCAGGCTGTGTCTACCCTGAAAAGGACCCGCTGGAGCTGATACGTGTCTCCCACGCTGCTTGGATTTCTGTCTCCACAAATAGACTTTGTGTTGCTATTTGTCTTTATGTGTGGTTTCCTCAACAGATGGGGAACTGTGTCCCTGGCACAAGTACAATCTTGGCAGCTTTGTTCTTCTTGGGAAGCTGAAAATGGTATCTGGCTTATGCAGCAAGCTATTCTGAACTTGGATAACTCCCATCCATCTGGAGATTTGTGGAGGTTTCAGAAATGAATGCCACACCCTGGATTGTGGCTGTTTACTAAACTGTCTCGTCCACTCCAGCTCTCCCTGGAGACAGTTGTGCCTTGTCCTAATTTAAATAACTATGAAATGTCAGATTCCTTCAGTGCCCAAAATACGCTGTTTAATGTGTATCCATTTATATGCCTCATAATAAATACACTTCTTTGGGAAGTCTTATTTAACATGTGGCTTACTATAAACCCTTTATCTTGATACAGCCCAGTTGGAGAGGACATTCCAAGGTTACTGCTTCTTCTTAGCACATTACATTGGATTGTTGATTCATACAGAACTGACTAATTAACCAGTAATATATGATAACATTTCTTAAGTTTTACCATATTCCAGGCACTGAGCTAAGTAAGCACTTCTCATATTTATTTTCACTTCATTATTTTATTGGTTCCGTGAAGTAGAAATAATTATTACTTTCATTTTACAGGTGAAACATCTAGAACCTATAAGAAACTTGCATAAGGCCCCATACCTAAAAGACAACAGAGGTTGGATTAATAATCACAAGTCAGATGTCTTAAGAAGCAATACTCAATACTCCTAACCACTCCACTGCTCTCTCCCTGAGCACTCTCTCCAGTGCACCAAAAAAGCTGCTAACAAAGGCTACATTTTTTACCAAACTAAGAAGATGATTTCTATTTCTTCACCTTGGATAGTGGTAAATTATTATGAAGTAATAATAGCACTTTTTTAAATTTACAAAAAGGCATGTTCTAAGTGGTTCTGTGTACCATTTAATTCATCACATTAAGGCTGAGAGAACTGATGTACAGTTCTAATTAACTTATTAATCAGTTAATTAATTAATGGGTCTAATTAACTTATCTCAGGGCACATGGGTAGATGTTATTTACTTGCTTATATCAAGGGAGAGCACAGTTGCAAAGCTTTGCTCCTGTTCTCTGTGGTCAGCTCAAGGATACAATGGGCAAAATTTTAGCAAATCTGAGAGAAAAACCATTCTTTTTGATTCCTCCCCTAGAACTTATGAGAAACCTGATAAAAACAGATCCTTTCATCCTAAATGAGTGTGTGTTCCTCCTTAGGCTTCTAAGAAACTTTGAAGTCAATATGAAAAGTGATACTGGGGCTTAACCAAGAACTTTCTTGGCTTATTCAAATAAATAATAGCGATCACTTTCTGTGTACTTCATTGAATCAACCAAGAAGTGGCCCCATTTGTTCAATCTGGCTCAAATCAGCATACTTTCTTGATCATCTACAGAGCATTAACACACTACCATCAGTCACAGTGACTTGCTCTAGTCATGATTCTCAAACAACAGTGGGTGCCTTCCCTCTGGTCTTCACGTAATCTAAAGAAAGCATCTGAGAATCTCAAAGAGAAAAAGGTTCAAATTACTATCCTCTAAAGTACTACAAGACTCCCCACCATTAATTCTGGGCTAGCATAGTTTCAGACTTCCCACTGCAGATACAAACTCTCTTTTGATGTTCCAGGATCTTTTTTGTCATGGAAAAGTTTTCTGATAAATGGTAATTTTGAAATCAGTATCTGTATAACGTTGTTTAGTCTAGAAATCAATAATGACCAAATTGTTTTCAAAGTCAAGAGATAAACTGGATAGCAGAGTCAGAAGGGAGACACACACAAATCACCATGCAGATCAGCTGGTCCAAGAATGCAAATACATCAGCACCATTGACCTACTCCATGAGTTCACATAAATGTGAGCTCAGTGAGTTCACATAAATGTGTGCCCATGAGAACGCGCATGGTCCCTTTCCACAGCTTTCCTCAAAGCATTTTTAATCTCCTTATTCCTGAGGCTGTAGATGATGGGGTTCGCCATGGGGATCACCACTGCATAGAACACGGACACCACCTTGTCCCGGCTAAGGGAGTAGCTGGAGCTGGGTCGCATGTACATGAAAAGACCTGAACCATAGAACAGAGTCACAGCAGTCAGGTGAGAGGCACAAGTGCCAAAGGCCTTGGTCCTACCTTTCGCTGAGCTGATCCTCAGGACGGCAGCAACAATGAACCCATAAGAGATGAGGACCACAAGGACAGAAACTACGCCAACAACAACCCCCACAATGAAGGTTACCACCTGGCTGGCGAAGGTGTCAGAGCAGGACAGAGCCAGGATGGGAGGAAGGTCACAGAAGAAGTGGTTAATCACGTTAGGCCCACAGAAATCATGCTGGTAGACAGAGTATGTTTCAATCAGAGAACTAAGAAAGCCACCCACGTAGGCCCCAGTCACCATCTCTAAGCAAAGCGTGTGGGACATAAGGGCCGTGTAGAGAAGTAGGGTGCAGATGGCCGCAAACCGGTCATAGGCCATGGCTGCCAGGAGAAGGCACTCGGTGAGCCCCAGCCCACAGAAGACGAAATATTGCACGGCACAGCCAGTGAAGGAAATGGTCCTCTGCTTGGCGATCATGTCATGGAGCATCCTGGGGGCTGTGGAGGACACATAGCAGATGTCCAGGAAGGACAAGTTACTGAGGAAGAAGTACATGGGTGTGTGGAGGTGGGCGTCCATCCTGATAAGCACGATGAGACTCAGGTTCCAGAGGAAGGTCAGCAGGTAGATTCCCAGAAATAATGCAAAAAGGAAAATCTTTATTTGAGGATGATCTGAAAAGCCCAGGAGGATAAATTTTGTCACCACTGTGTTGTTCCTCACCATGGCCATGGGCTTGTTTCCTATCTAAAAGAAAATAGCACCATGGTCAATTAGATGGTATAATTAGATGGTATGTGTTATTCTAAGAACAGAATCTTCCTGGAGGTTCAGTTAATACCCATCTGCAATTCCAGCCACCTTCTAGGCAGCATCTCTGAGAAAGTCGCCCTAAAGTGATCTCTTGGCACCCTTTTAAATCTGCATGTTATATATATTGTTGACTAAATGACATCTCTTTGATCCCAGGACTTGGGAGGCTGAGGTAGGAGAATCTCTATGGCTTCAGGCCCAGGCTGGGTTAAACAGTGAGTTCAAGGCCAGCCTGGGGTACATAGCAAGACCCTGTCTCAGAGAGAGAGGAGAGGAAGGGAGGCAGGAAGGGAAGGAGGGAGGGAGGGAGGGAGGGAGGGAGAGAGAGAGAGAGAGAGAGAGAGAGAGAGAGAGAGAGAGAGATCTTTAATGGTGTCTGGAGTGACTGAGAACTGGGAAACAGTGCCTACAGTTTCATTCTGCCCTGAAAAGCAATGTTGAAAGCCACTTCTCACTTCTCAAATGGGAAGAGAGGGGCTTGAATCAGATCGGTTACAAAGTCCTCTTGGAATTGGATTCATTATGAATGTTTTAGACATTCTGAATTAAAAATAGAAGTCATAAGGGTTGGGGTTATAGCTCAGTAGTATAAGTGCTGCCTGGCAAGCACAAGGTCATGAGTTTGATCCCAGGTATCCAAAAAATAAAAAAAAATAGAAGTCATAGTAAGATAAAAAATAAAACTTGGTCATTGTTATGCTTCATAAATCTTTAATGTAAGGACTTAGGTAAAGGAATGAAGTGTAATGGGCTATCATTTTTGATATATTTCAATTTGGGGAAAGAAAGCCAAACAGCCTACCAATGCATTGTGCTGAATTGTGAAACTGAGAAAAAGTGTACATATTGTATTTATATTTATATACATGCTTAAGACTAGAAAAAAATTGTAAGTTTTTGTGCAAGGCATCCAGAAAGGTGAGATTTTAGCCACACCCAATCCATACCACTTTGGAATAGAAGGGCTATGAAGAAGAGTTTCAAAGTGGATTGAAACTAGCTGAACCGTGATGATCAAGAGCTAATAGAAATTAAAATTCCCTGGACAATAAAAACTAGGGAAGAGCTGTCACGTACAAAGCCAGTGATTCACAAACAACAACTTTGATGTCACTGAACCAGATCAGATCATTCTGAACACAGTAGTTAAGCCTATATACAGTTAGCAATTAAGAAAGACAGACCTGGCTCAAAAATATTATCAAAATAAAGAAAGATAAATGGGCATAAACAGGAAGAAGTGCCTAGGAAAGATTCTTTGCTGAGATTAAAATGTGGTACCTTATCATTTGCATGGCATTTGACTGGCCCAGTAATCTTATAACCAATTGTAATTGTCCAGGTGGGTCCTCCAGTCACTCACCATATTAAAAGCTAAACCATTTCACATCTCTCCAAAGTTTCTGATTGGGCATCAAAATCATGAAGAGCCAAGACTGCTCATTGACATAAATATATTGCTATAAGGTACATTTCCTATTAAGATTTCTTAATGAAATCCTCCTGACAGAGTGTGTACCTTGCCAAGGCAGAACGGGGGCTCTGTTTATGGATCTATCTGAACACCTACAATAGTCCTGGAGATGTGGACATCCAAGAAATACTGATTGAATGAATGTTATGCTCACAGTGGAGTATAATGTTTGGCTTAGCAGGTATTCCAGTATTTGCTTATTATTATAATAATAAAATATATAATCCCTAGTAATATTAATAATGCAATCACAAACAGTTATTTAGTACTTACTATGTAACAGGCACTATTTGAAGGATACTATTTACACAAACACATTGATTCATTCCAGACAGACAAGAGTTGACACTGGCTGAAATTTTACAGTTGTCCTTTTCCGGATAAATGAGGCAGAGGAATCAGTTGGACTTACTTATTTTAGGCTGAAGTGTCCTGGGATCTTATGCCACAAAAGAAAAATTACTGGCTGCTTTGTGCCTATAACGTCTTCTGAAAGCTTCTGTTTGTCAATCTTTTCTTCTGCTCTATGGCTGGTTCTTGGTTCCATCAATTGCTTTTTATACACTAGTCTCAGGTAAATAGTAACCCCTGCCTCTGGAATCCCTGCCCCTTTGTTAGCCAGTCTGTCAAGCGATCTGTAAGGGTTCCTTAGGATAATGGACAGAGGCTGCCACTTCTCCCTCATAAAGATCTGTCTCATCTCCTCTCTTCTCCTCGCCACGTCTTTCCTCCCCTCTCCTCACCTCTCCCCTCTCCTCCCCTTCCATCCCCTCCCTTCTCCTCCCCTTCTATCCTCTGCTCTATTCTCTGCTCCTCTCCCCATCTCTGTCTCTGTCTCTCTCTCCAGGTTTAATGTAAAAGCCCAGCAATTATCACAGCTACACATTCGGAGCACTGTTTGTTCCCTGGAGTAATAGTGGAAAGGGGCCAACTGCCCAACCTCAGAGCCACCTTTCCAGGCTCCTCCCTGGGGACCTCAAAAGGTTTGGATCATTAAATAAGAGGTGAAAAATAAAGCCTTCGCCCAGTGCCTGATGAACAGAAATCCTTCAATAAATGCAAACTGATAGCATTGATAACTCTGTCTCTTGGGTCAGGACCACGGAGCATCTCTCCTTTCTACCTGACTGGTCTTGTGATTCATCTTTATGGTGCTGCAAATGATTCATTTTCCCTTTATGGTCTAGCTGCCACTCATAGCACTGTCCCTTCCTAGAAGTGTCACTGTGAGCAACGCAGTCAATGCCTGTGGGCCCGGGCACTTTGGGCTTGCTTCCCAAGGGTCTCTGGTGCTCTGGAAGTCTACGATGTTAATATTTTGATTTTCAGGTTCTTGAAGTGTTTTCTTGACAAAGTTTACAGAGAGAGAGAGAGAGAGAGACAGAGAACCTAACTCATGGAAATAAAGTTAGCAGTCTTAATCAATTTGAATCCATTTGATTTCAAGGGGAAAAGGAAAAGGAAAAGGGAAAAAGAAAGGAAAGAAAAGTTAGCAGTCTTAGTCTGAAAATAAATAAATAAGTGACAGCAGTATCTTGAGTATGAAGGAAAACAATTGCTGAGATCCTTGCTGTAAACGGTAATGTGCTTAATTTAGGGAAAGAAATTTAATAACTGGGACCACAGAAAGAAAAAGAGGTCAGCGACTCCCAGAATCAACTGTGACCATAAAACAGTTGCAAATATTTAAGTCAAGAGAAACATAAAGCCGCCCAGGAAACACTGGACTGAGAGAGTTGAGCCAACCAACTATAAAAGAATTTTGACATCTGGTTCAAATAATATCTGGGGAATACAAGATTTAACTCATAATTATGAGCTACCAACAGCTCATTTGTCAATTTTGATTACAGTGATAATGACTATAGAAAACAAGATGGGGCTTTTTAAAAGTATATTTTTATTAGTGGAGATATCTTAAGGATGAAGAACAAACTACAAATTAGCAATGTCTGCATCAGAAAGGAAAAAGGAGAGTTCAAAATGCAACATATTTGTCACACCATCTTACAAGAAATTTAAGAATGAGATAAGAAGTCACTCTATTATATCTACCTGGGTAGCTGTACTTTCTAAATACGTTTACTTTAAAACCTCAAGTTTGAAAATCAAATGTGGTGATGCATGCCTATAATTCCAGCACTCAGGAGGCTGAGGCAGGAAGATGATGAGTTCATCACATCCAATCTGACCAATACAGTGAGTGAAAGGACAACATGGACTACAAAGCAAGGCCCTGTCTCAAATTAAAAGAAAAAACTATGGGATTAAAGTGAATATCAAAAAGCATCAAAGCAGACATGTCACACAACAATGTGAATGTACTTACCATTGTTTAAATGTGACCTGCAATTTTTTAAGAGGTTGTTACAGTTAATTTAGGTGTCACTCAGAGTGGCTTAAAGACTATCTCCACATCTAGGTAGGCTGGTCAGGACGCCTCTGCTAGATTCAGGACTGGAATCTGGGACTCAGTCAGAAAAACCTCTCCCCCTCCCAAGTAGGCAGTCAGCATCCAGCCTGCACAATACCCCAGGTGGAACAAAAAGGCAGAAGACAGACCAGTCAGTCTCCCGGGAGCTGGGACATCCATCTCCCCTGCCCTTGGGCATCAGAGCTCTGGGGTCCCATCCTCCAGACTCTTGAGCCCCCAGAGTCTTGGGTGGTCCTCTCAGACAGAGTCCAGTCCACCATGGAACCCTGATTCCCAGGTCATCATGCCTGGGCCGAGCTGGGCTACACCTGCCTGGTGTTCCAGTCAGCACAGGCTCACAAGCCAATCCCATAGTCAGCTCTCTTGTCTGTGGACACACGCCTCTTACTGGTTTATCTTTCTAGAGCATCTTGACTAATAAACGTAATAGTTAAATGTTAGCAAAGAAAACAGCACACATGGTGACTAAATTCTATGGAGAATTCAGTGTTTAGAAGTAAAGTCAACATTTGGACACAGAAAGTTTATCTGGCTAGAATCTTGTGCACTTTAGAGTGTGCTCTCTGACAGATTCTCCTAAAACTGAGCTTGTTTTTAAAGTGAACATTATTTATTCGTTTAACATTTGAGCACAGCTATTTTAATGAGTATATTTGAATTGTCTTTGAAGTAAAACCCAAAAGAAAGTCCAAAAGTGCTTAGCAGTAAAATATTACCTTGATCTCAACTGGAGTTTGAAAAGTCATCTCAGTCTGTGTTTCCTCCACTAGCAACTAGTAAAAATTTCAGCCTGATATATCTCTAAAGTCTTTTACCAGATGGCCCTAATAGATCCAAGATAAAGCTGCATTTAAAAGTTTCAGGGATCTTTTAAAATATATACAAGAGGAAAAGCACATAGAAAGAGGACCAGATTTCTACTCCCACTTTGGGAAATCGGGCTATTGGTCTCAGTGCGTTCATTCATTTACTCTGACACTGAAGAACTAAAGTAAAAAATGTCTAAAAACT